AATAATTAATCGATAGCAGTGGAAGACGGTTTAAGTAGGAACTGACTCGCTTCCAGCAACTAGAAAGTCGCTAAAGGCGGTAAAACTATTATAAAAAGCTTTTTACACCTTGGGGGAAAAAGTCCTGCAAAATGCAAAAGCGCCGCCGCCCATCAAACCCGATCCTTGGTTCCGTGCCTGTGAAGCGTCACGCTTACCTCCACTCCAAGCCGCCACTGCCAGGTTGGCGGCGACCATGGCTTATGTGCTTTTCCACTGTTGAGTGGTCTCCGAAGACCACCTCCATAACTTCGCTCAGAGAATCGTTTGGCAGATTTCGAATGCAGATTTGAAATCAGCATCAAAAAATACGCCTAGCAGTATAGCTCTCATTTCAAATGGCCACTTCGACCTGGGATCCTTCCCTTGTGAGAAGAAAGGGCTTCAGGTGTTTTTCCAAAAATGAGAGCACGTGAGCTAATATTTTTGGCTTGACAGCTCAACGGCATAGCCCAGGCATGATGAAAATGGCTGTTGGGATTACTCCTTGGAAGGAACCTGCGACTTTTTATGATATAATAGCACAGAGGAGCCTTCAAGTCACAAAACGACATGGATAGGGTGTAATAAGGGCCCCAAAACTGGCTTGACCGGCCACCTACGTCAGACGGCTCTCAGGCATCGTAGGGGCTTTACCAGTTGCACCATTCCCACCTTTATGCACAGGTAGCGCAGGCAGATTACTGTAGTCAACTGATGCAATGGCACACACATTTGGACAGGTAGTCCAAATATCCATTACGTGCAACTTTTCTCTTCCGGAATCTAATTGAGGATTGTAGCCACACACATTTGCACAGCTCGTCCATATATCCCTTTCGTTTAGACAGCTCGTCCAAATATCCCTTCTGTACGAACTTTCTCTTCCGGGCTTTTTTGAGATTTCATACCTCTGTATATCCCAATTTTCGCGTTTTTTCCGTTTTTGCATTGTTCTGAATTACCACCTCGATTATCCGTTACCAACTAGATACCCCAAAATTACTGTGTTCTTTACCTTCGACCCTGTTAAAACTGAATTACTACACTTAAGTAAATAACTTGAAATTAAAATAATAAAGCTCAAGCAATGTTTCGCATTACCAATAACAATCAAGGCTGCAACGATAATGGCGCATAGTGTGCCACCAACGATGAATGGCAGAATTCTGAACAACAAAGAAGACGAGTGGAAATACACCGGAGAGAAAGCTGCTAGTGACCAGTCGATCACCTCGCATAATAGTAGTAGTACCTGAAGAGTAGAAGATAAATGTAACGGCATGGTGACTAAACTTTAGGGAGAGATCTTTAATTTTTCTGAGAGTGGAATATGCCTTTGCTACAGTGAGCCAACGTAATTGCTATGTCGAGGTATAAACGAGTCTACTGGGGAGACGGGCGTTAGGAACGATTTTGGGTAATCGATTTGCCGCACGCGGCTGTCGCGGACCACTCATTCGCCGTTATTACAGCTCTAGCGTTCTTCATACAGCTCAATCGATATGCGATCATTATATATGCATAATTCTATAATTAGTAGTTTTGTTCTTGTATTTCTTACCTACTGCTGCATCCTGTTACATTCCTTCGCGCGCGACGCCCCTCTCACCGCGACGCGACCATTTCGTTACTAACGCACCACACCCAGTCTACTGGTTGCTACTGAAATACGGTCCTCCTATACTTTTCAAAGTCTTTTTTGCCGTCCAGTCGCGGCTACGCAGCATCTAACAGACTGTAAGAGCCTCCAACATTGTCAGCCCATAGACTTGCCTAGATGCTTGGCAATTCATACAGGGCTATGCCCATTTGAATAGGTTTTGTCACTCCATCTCACCTAGTTCCCTAGGACTTATACTTATCTCGAGATAGGCAACAGTTCGTGTACACACGTTGATGTCCTTTACCTGTATCGTGCGCAGAGTTGGAAATTGGCTAAATAAAAAAAAATTGGTCGGAGACCGCTTGTTGCCCTTAGTCAGCAGGACTTCTGCCCCTTTTCGTGGCATAGACTCTTTTCAATTTTTTGTAATCAGGTTCAGTTATGAATCGTTGGGATAGTATTCGAATTGCAAAACAAATCTGACCTGTAGTAATGGTATACAAGTGGAGATCACCAGCACAGCACCACATTGGCCTTCGTTGCTTCTGTCCAAAGCCCCGATTACAATCAGGAAAGTTGCAATGATCACATCAACCACGAACTTTACTGAAACGAGTACCTTGAAAGTCACCATCTTGAATTGTCATTTTCTTATTCGATTTTACCCATCCTCAGGCTCTCCCCCTCCTTGCGCGATTTTTTTGTTTTTTTTTTTTTTTGATTTTCCTACGTGTTGTCACGCTTATTTAACATTTTTACGGTTCAGTATAAAAGTAATAACTTTGAAGTATCACAGTACCCCGTAATTTATTTTATCACAAATTATATTATACAAAATTTGATTTTTAATTTTTTTGTACAAGGATTTGATTTTACATGATAAATCTGAATGAAAGGGGGTGGTGTAGTGGCAAGAGCACACTCCGGCGCCAGCACCGAGTCCAGATCTATGCTCAGGACCAGATCGACCAACTAAGAATTTCGTCCCTCTGTGACCGTCAATTGGTACAAACTTATCTGAGAAGAGGAGAGCACCGATTTGTACATCGGCTGGTCACCGTAATTCATTACAAAGGCTCAATTCGCATTTAAATTGCACTATGATTCTGAAGAAAGCTGAATACGGGGCGCATCGGACATTGATGGAACTGATCAACCAAATACCGTGATTCTTCGCCGTTTGTAATAAGTTAAAAAGCACTGAGACTGTGACTATTAAAATCATTTGGCTGTAAGTTCGGTTTTTGAACGATAGGCCCATTTGCACTAGCTCGACTACGCGAACGTGTAGACAAGATGGTCTCGGAAGTGTGGTTGGGCAGTTTTTTTGTTAGAAATTATGTAATTATGGCGCATTTTCGAGGGATTCTGTTTTAATGACGTAGATGAACAACTGATGTATTATTTTGAATGGCAGCTTCTGGCCAAGGAGGAGTTAACTGTCCTTCAGCAAGCCCGAGCTTTGAAGTTTAGGCCAGAGGTCAGAGGTTTTCAGCAAATTGAAAAAATGACTCCGATTCAGAAAGTGTTTGAACTTGATTCATGAGCTGATGCTTAATCATAAAGTGAAATAAACTCGAGAGACTCTTCAAATTAGAGTCTGTTAGAGAGTCAAAGTTGATATCCAATGATCAAATCTTAATAGGTTCCAGAATCCCCAAGACGGTGATGTTTTCTAGCGTGCCTGCGATGATCTTTCTTGGCAGGTGTCAAACGTACTTTCTACTCGAAGTTAGCCTCTGCTCTTCTTTTTGAAGGCACAGTTCACGATAATTTTGAGGTCCTTTAAGGTTGAAAAGCGGAAATGTTGATGTAAAGGAGTACATCGGTGCGAAGAAAGCGAGCAAATCCGCCTACTTCAAGGCTTTTTAAAAGTAGTCGAAGTGGAGGTTGTACGAGATCACAGTGACGGTAATGGCGTGGAAGGGGTGCTTGGACGTGATTTAACTTGCTCCCGTTGCTCAAAGAGACGACTACATCAGGCCAAAACTGCCCGAAACTACCATTCACTGTCACCATGGGTTACGACAGGTTGTTTGAATTGCTTACATGGGAGTCTCTTGAGGTTGTGCAGCCTCTACGAAGCCGTTGACACTCGTAAGCGATGCGTGTGGCATTCACACGATACAATCTCTGTCCCCTTATTGTGCCCTATCCATGACGTTTTACGACCTTATAACGGCAGGTGTGGATGTGTAAGGGGGAGCCTCGAATTTATACTACAGGGAAGAGGGAATTCTCAGAAACCATTTTTATCGTGAACTGTGCCTTCAATCCTTCGCTATTATGAGCAAAGCTTTTGTTGCATTTTTCATGATAAAAGCTCTCCTATTAGTAGTTTTCAAAGTGTATGTTTCTTCAAGTTCAGCCCGGCTCTGTGAGGAAGGCACATGCAAAACATCCGGTAGAGCAGAATCATTTTTGGCTTGTTTTCTCGCTTCTCCTGCAATCATTACCACGTGGGTTCATGATAAGTGGTGTGTCCCATCATTGATAAAGACGTCGGATAATGGCCTTTGCAGCTGTGATGTACAGCCAATCGGAACACAAGCAATCGCTTCAGATAATGTTGGCGGAGAGTGTGCGTATTTGTGGAGGAAAAAAACCGGCTATTTGCCAGACTATTGTACAAACAGCACGTAAAAAACTCTTACAGACACCGCTATGCCAGCGTTTTTATCAGTCCAGACAAGTCGTAAAGTAATTTATCGTCCTGCAGAAATGGAGGACGTAAATGGTATAGGTGATATTTGATTCACAAGCTGCACCGTGCTGCTGGAAACGGGTTACAGTTGAGGCCGCATTATCGACTGGTTTCCTAATTTGGTTAATAAATCGTATCTTGTCGCCCTCGCACGGCGAATTCTTCCAAAAGCTGCAATATATCATGACCATTCAAAGAAGGCATTAAATTGCATGTGTGAGGGGGGGGGGTACTCCTTCCCGAATTCCCACGGTGAGTGGGCTCCCTGATCCCACGCAATAGTATTTACTCACTTAAGCGAGAAAATCGTTCAGACATTCTCATCGCTAATTTGGGATCGCTGAAAAGCAAAAGTTCCGCGGCGACTACCGTGTCCTTCCCCTGGAAATTCAAACTTCCCCTTCATAGCCTGCGACGAACGCCACACTCTTGATTTGCTCCATTACGCAGCAGGAGAGGAGTAAAATCGCGATGAAAATTTTGTAATACGGTGATAGCACCTTCTGATGAGTTGAGCCCTCCGTTCTTACAACTCGCGAACACTCCACAAAGTATCGGAGCTGAAGATGAGAAAGCGGAATTGTCGAAATGATGTACTAAGAGGATCAGTGACAGGAATACACGCTTAAAATCGGATTCACCATCTCACCGAAAAAAAAATCACCAACTGAGGTCGTACCAATCAGTAGAAAAGGTAGTAGCAATCTTCCTCATCCACCATTGTCTATGAGTCCTCCGTAACACAGCCATAGCTATCTGAGGTGTTATCGATGTATCTGGAGGTGAGAATGCAACGAGAACCTTTGGCAAGTAGGTGTAGTACACTCGTACCGGTCATGGCCAACCCCTTCGGGTGGACCACCGACTGAATATGCATGCGTACAATAAAGTCTGACGGATGAATTCTTTGGGCGTTGATGAGTTCCGTCTGAGGGGTGAACTACCGCATTCAACTTCTTCAGAATCGTAGTGGCGCATTGTATGCGTGCGTGGCTTATACAAAGACTTGCGATGGCCAGCCGATGTACAAGTCAGTGCTTTTATTATCCCAGACAAGTCCGGTTACAATTGACCTACCCCAGTGGATGGAAGGCTGGTTGGCCTGGGCGGATATCGGTCCGGGATTCGGCCTCGCGACCATGCTTGTGTGATAGTACGTCATTTGCCACAGCACTAGAAATGTTTCCATGTTTTCTAATTTGTTTCCGTTTCTTATGCCCAATTTCGCTTACCCGAAGTAACGTTTAGGTAAGTTCAGTAAGAGACCAATCATTTCACCTAAGGAACTCGTAGTGTTCAAAGTCCATTTATCAGTATCTAAAGACGTACATTGATAGGAATTACGTAAAAGCTATCAATGACGTCCAAGCAAGCACCTTATCGCACTGAAACATGATAAATGGACAGTTACATAGCTTTTACAGCTACCGAATTTCCTGAACCTGTGGAGACCGTAGAAACGAGGTCGTGAGAAGAAGACTCTTTGTTTCCTTCAGAAAAGTTAATTGTACACTTTGAAAACTTTTCCACTGAAATGGAACTGAGTGAAGCTGGGTAATTCACAGAGGCTGGAGCTTTGCCAGAAGATAGCCGGTTTAAACATATTTAAAGTGGAAGATAGCATAAATCTAGAGGTTCTACTGTCAAAAGAGACATGCTGTCAAAGAATGAGTGCAGCACAGTGGGTAAAAGCGCCTCGTCGATCTCGGCAGTACAATTCATCTTATTTTATTCTGGAAAACCAACCATCTTGCACATTCTATGATAGTTCGGCACCACCCTCAGGTAAAGACGGAAGCGAAATCAAGTGATGCCGAGGAATGGTGCATCCAGAACGAACCTACTGAGATTCAACGATTGACCACTTGGCTTCGTTCCTCTCTGGGATGGAGATTACAGCAACTTGGAAAAACGATTATTTCCGTATGTTAATATTCAAGCCGGAGGCACCTCCAGCTGCTTTTCTATATCCGAA